GGTGTTTCAGCTTATATTTAACAGAAATCATGTCGTATCACCAGTTATCCATCACTTTGTGCTACTTTAGCATCTTTTTGTGTAATTTTTATGCCTTGTTAGCATCACTCCCTGTCATTACCGTGTGATTTTTGTCCCTTTGTTTTATTATAACTAAGCTACGCTGCGTATAAGACCTTTCTGAGTTCTCTCTGCTTCTAGTCCTGGTTGTTCTGTTTCCATAGAGCTGCAGGACTTTATGTAACGGTGAAAAATGAGCCCACAGCGAGTAAACCTGTGACCCAAAAACAACCACACAGAAGAGCAGAGAATCAGCGTTTGTCGGGAACTATTCTACGTCTGTCATTAATCAGATTTCAGCTGGTAAAGCGTTCCTGAGTCGGCAGAACACTACATTTAGTAAACTACTCAGTCGCCTCTAAGATGCAAACCAACGAGCTTCTCTGTCATTTATCTGAAGAAACGACGTCAGTTTGAACATTAATTCTGCTTCTGTTTACTTTTAAAAGACACTCCGGGCGCACGTTCAGGCAAAATGTTCAGATTAAAGGCAAATACGAGACAATGAATGTGGATAAAAAGCCTCAAGTTCATTCTGATAAAAGCATCAACGCCTGTTTTATTTCTATGATGCGGAGCTGCTGAGACGTGAGCTCTGCCTCTCCAGGTAACCTCAGGTGACAGTTCACACCTTCAGCACACACAGAGCTTCAAGTTCTCATCTCTCCAGTTTATTATATTAAAGAATGAGTCAGATTTATACGATTAATAAGAAGGACAACATCAAAACTGCTCTTTTAGGAGTCATAAACAGTCAACTTCTAACAGCAGAAACTGAAGAAGTCCTCACTATTAGGCTTCTAACAGTCTGTAAATCACATGAACTCATCAGAGTGTCCCCAGCAGCTGTTTTAGTGTCAGAACAGAACAAAGCAGCAACTCACAGAAGCCTCCCGTCATCAGCAGTGAAACCTGTCCACAGATCCGACTTCTTCCTGAGTGGAAACACCACGTGGAGCTGCTCCGGACCTGAAATCAGCCCCGTCTGTCAGAGAAGTGCTGGGAAGTGTGTGTGTGTGTGTGTGAAGGCTGGAAAAACTGAAGGAAAAAAAAAAGAAAACACTCACAGTGACTCAGATGAAATCCAGGAGAAAGAGGGAGAAGAGCCGGCTGCCTCCAGAGAGCGAGTGTCAGCCCGACTGGATGGACAGGTTTATTTAGAGAATAGGCTCATGCACACGTTTCACACACCCCTCTGGATGGGTGGAGTTTGGCGGGGATCTGGCAAAAGCCACCGGCTCAGACCCTGCGCTGCACCACCAAATGTCACGGGGGTTCATTTCCAAAGTGCAGAGCTGTTTTCGTTCCCGCTCTGTACCTTGAGCTATGCGCTACATGTCAAACACCCCCCGACACCTGCTGAGTCCAGACGCTACAGCAGGGATCCGGTTGCTTCTCGCGCCTTTAATTGGGGCCTAAATCACAGTAAACAAACCAGGAACTTTATTGCTGGGTGTTTCCGTCACCTTTACTTCACCCCGGCCTGAGCTCTCTGTTCTCTTTTCTAAGAAAGTCCTCTCCCCCTCAGGAGGGTTAAAGTGCTCCAGGTTAAAGGCTGGTCAACGGCGCTAACGAGTGGCGCTCTTTATCTGTGGCTGCGTAATTACCACGACCTCTGATAAGACTGAAATAGTAACCAGGAGGGAGCTGCTCTCTGAGCAGCGAAACCGACGGACCTGTAGAATCAGGCAGCGACTGAAACAACCTGAAAAACCAAACACGTGTCGAGGCCTGGATTTAGAAAAGTCCCATTATTATTATTATTACTGTTGTTCTTCACCTGAGGAAAGGTTCACGTCGACTAGAACTAAAGACGTTTCAGTCTGTGTCATCAACAAACACAAAAGATGGTCGTCTAACTTTTAATTTACTTGTATTAGTGCTGTTAATCCTAAGTTGCTGTTAACTTGTTGGAGGTTCATGTGCAGCAGTGTTCAATATTCAAGGCAGTAATGTGTTGGCATGTTGGCCTTATGTTCCTGTACGAATCTTTAAGACCCTTTGTGATCTCTGATATGTTTGCAAAACGCTTCCTTCATTTTTACGGGTTCGGAATTTGCATTAAATACGTAGAAAATGTTGAAATTTTGCAGCAGGTTACGGAGGAACCGGTTCCTGTGTGCGGCAGGAAGTCGTCAGAATTAATTAGCTAGCGGGCTGTTCAGCGTGTTGGCAGCTACATCGTGTAATTACAAAAACAAGTTCTTAAGCTAGTTAACACGTGTGTTGTGGTTCATGTGTCCCGCCTACATCCATCCATTTGTACTTACATGCATTACTTTGCGTGAACACCAGGGGGCGCTGTCGTATATTTACGGACATGACTTTAACAAACTGTGATTGTTGACGCCTAAGTCGGTTTATCTTCAAAACATCACGGCTTGTGGGACGTTCTTTGTGTGCAGTGATTAGCACCAGTGTTAATATTGAGCTCAGACTTTATTCAGTCTTTAGAAAAAAAAGATAATGATGTTTCAGTTTCAACCACATTTCAGTGCTTTAATTTTTATAATTTTGGAGTTTTCTTTAACAAAAACATAAAAAATTTTATCCAATTTTTTGTCAACGAATAAAGACTTTAGTCTTTGTTTTAAAAAAAACAACAACAAAAAAACGTGCTTTCATTTTTATCAAAAAAAAGCTGAAAAGATTTTCGTTAAATTTTTGCTCACAAAAACTACAAACATTTTAAGTCTAGTGTTTTATTTAAATCAAAAACCAAACTAGTAAAACAAAGTTTTTAGTTGCATTTTTAATTACAAAAACTGAACGATTTAACTTAAGTTTTTTTCAACAACAACTAAAAACATTTTAACCGAGCTTTCGTCAAAGCTACAAATATTTCAGTCTAGTTTTTGTAATGAGGACCAACCTGATGGTGAATGATTAATGCGATCAGTGGAAAATATCCTCGTTAAAGATTAATGAGCTGTTAATGAGTAGCTTCTGAATCAGGACCACGTAATGTGAATCAGTTCATAAAAATCAGGGAATCGACTTACTGACCTCAAAACTTCACTATAAAGAACAGTCGACCCGTTTGTTCGTCCAAACTGAGTCAACGTGTGGTTTCTAATCAGTCCTTCGTTATTTGAGCACTTTGTGGCCGTTGTTTACTCATTAAATAAACCCCCAAACAAACAAACAGTCACTTATCGCCGCTGAATTCTCGCCTAATCACAAAAAAGAGACGGAAAGGTTCTCGAGATTCGAGGCTGATCTAATCTGGGTCATTATCAGGTCAAACAGGCCGCGTCCCGTCTTGTTTCAGGCTAAACAGATCTTCAATATTCTGACATGAATCAATGTCTTCACATGTTTTCACCATAAAATGCTGGCGGTAGAGATTGTTGTTGTTGTTGTTTTGTTGTTTTTAATGTGCAGAGAAGATTTTATGGAATCTGGTAAAATCAGGTCTATTGTGGAGGGAAAATGGGAAAAATATAAAAACTAAAAGTTTCTTAATTTTCTTTTGAGCAATTTGCTGTTATTGTACAAATTTTCTCTGTTTTGATCAATTTCAGAAAACAAAAAGTAAAATAAATTTTTTTAAATTAAAAACAAACAAACAAAAAAACAGACCAAAACTGTAAATAAAATCCACATTAAATATCAGTATTTAAAACAAATAAATAAATAAATAAATAAAAAATTGCAAGTCATTATTTTACAGTAATTGATTGCAAACTTACGCTCTCCTTCTTTCTTATTTTAAAGAACAATTATTCGTATAAAGGATTACAAAATTGGCAAATCCTTTTTTAACTGATATTTTACAAATTTCTCTGTTTTGTTAAATTATAGATTATATCAAGTAAAATAGAAGAAAAGAAAAAGCAATAATTTACATGTTAACTCTAAAAAAATAAAAATAATAACAACAGGCCAAAACTTTAAATAATCATTTTAATAATTTTAATATGTTTATTTCCTGTTTTATTTTGACATTCTCTGCCTGTGTGTGTCTCTTGTGTTTCTACTTCCTCCCTCTGTCTGTGTTTCCCTCCTTTTTACTTGAACTCATTAGTTTGTCTCGTCTCCTAAACTTTCCTGTTTTTGATTTTTTAATCTCCAGTTTATTCTCGTGTCCACCTGCCTGGTTTGCACCTTTCAGTTTTTGATTCTTTTCTTACTGGATTAGATTTATGGTTTTAGTTTTTCTTTAACACAGTTTTGTGTTTTGATAGTTTTGTTTGAGCTACGTCTGTTTCCACAACATTCCTGCCACATTTTTCCCGCCTGACCTTCCTGAAACTTCTCAGTTGCCCCAAAACACAAACACAACGACTAAACAAATGTGTGGTTTGTTTGTTTGATTGCGTTGGATTTTGTCTTCCAGAGGTGTAAACTGAGGAAGGCGAGGCTGGATTAGACGCGTTTCGCTCCAGCTCGGATTAAAAACCTCCGCGGATCTCGTCGACCTTTTGTCGTTTGCGTCCAAAGCCCTGATTTTCCATCTTCCCTGGCGGCGAGCGGAGCGGAGGTGTGCGCTAGCCTCATATAATCACACCAGGTGCCTGTTTTTTCATCGTGCCGCTGAGAAAATCCTGATTACTGACGGGTTGGTGTGTGTGTGTGACTGTTTGTAGGTTAGTGAAAGATTGCTGTGGCCGTAGATAAGAAGATTAGGGTGGAATTAGTGTCATTCCTCTATCGCCGCGAGGAATGGATTCATATCGATTTTAATCAGCGATAGAACCACAAAAACTGCAGATAAAGCGGCGCGAGGCGAGGAGCGGAGCGAGTGGATGGAGCGGAGCGACGGGTCCTGGAGTCGGCCGGGATGCTGCAGCAGCTGGACGCTGATGTGCCGCCCAGACTGTGAACCTGCAGCGCTGCCTGGAGACCTCGGGGATGTGCCACCGGCTTCCTTAGGCCACCGCCGAGAGCTGGAGGCGGTCGGGATGCTGTGTCGGCTCCGGCGGGGAAACCTGTGAAGAATGAAGCTGGACCTGCTGGCCTGCCTGGCTCTGGCCGCCGCCGGCCTCGTCGCCATGGTGACCGGCGGCCGCACCTCCAACCGCAGGAAGCACAAGGAGGTCTTCCTCGGCGAGAACAGCAAGTTCAAGTTCGGCGGGTGAGAGACGTTCAATTTATCAGACACCAGACATTAGCTTCAGTCCACCTGCTGTTATGCACGTCTTCTGTTTGCACATTGACCCTCTGAACCCGAAGCAGATTGTTTTCTGTATTTATTTGTCCAAGATGGAACACGTTACTGCCTGAGAAGTGTAAAAAAAAAAAAAAAAAAACACCTCTGACACATTTCTACTCTCTGTTGGCTGCACCTTTGTGGAAACAGCAGTTAAATGTCTTTTTCACAACCTTCCTTCTGCTTTTTTCTGCCTGAACGTTCCCCAAACGTCTCAGTCCTCCAGAAACTGCACCGAACACAAATGCAACAACTAAAAAACATTGATTTGTGTGTAGCTGCAGGGTTCGTTAGCTTGTGTTGTGCTAAAATTTAAATTTGCACATTAACCGTCTGAACATGAAGCAGCGTTTTTTGTTGTTGTTGCATTTATTCGTGCAGTTTTACTCACGACAGCTTTCTAGATGAAGATGGAACACGTGAAATGTGTAAAATGCTGCAAAAGGTTGAATCTCTGAGCAAACAGCAGCTCTTTGTGCATTTTAGCACATTTTTACTTTCTGTGAGCTGCAGTATGAAATCTGTGGAAACAGCACAGTTAGATTTCTTTGACTTCGGTCACGTGGTTTTGTTTGAGTTAAATTTCTTTTCCTACAACCTTCCTGCTGCGTTTTCCTGAACGTCCCCCAAACGCCTCAGTTGTCTATAAACTGAACCGAACACGAATACAACAACTAAAACAAATGCATCAGTGTGTTTGTGTGTCGCTGCTGCCGGGTTTGTTAGCTTGTGTTTGGGATCTTGAAATGTAAATTTCTGGATGTTCATTTTTTGCTCTCGTCACATTCATTAATGCAGTTTGTCGTATTTTATTTACTAAAGCTTTCTAGATAAATGCTAACTGTAGTTTCTGTGCGTTTGTACACATTTTTACTCGCTTAGTTTCTTTATCTGAATGAGTTTTACGCGTTTTCTTCACATTTATTGTCTCGTTTTTGCCTTTAAATGTGTTTAATCAGAAAATGTGCCCAAACGTACAGACAGTGTGTGTTTTAAAAGTAAACAGAAGCAAAATTAACGTTAAAACTGATGCTGTTCCTTCGTAAAAAAAGACACGGACGTTAAACTAACACAACACAAAGCAACTGCACAACAAAGGTTGTGAGTTTTTACACATTCTTACTCACTGTGGCTCATTTCTCACTACAATATAAATCCCTGCACCTCGAAGGCAACACAACAACCAGAAGTAGAGAAAGTTGAATTTCTTGCATCGTTTAGTTTACAGAAATTGAACAAACGTGCTTCCAAGTGCCAAAGGTGTCGCCAGTTTTGGGGAAAAAAAGAAAAAGGTGGTTCTACATGTTCCAGACACTCTAGAAACGTGTTTCACTGTGCAGCATTTGTCGCCCAACAGCTGCTCTGTGTACGGTTTTAGAGCCGCGCTGCATTTATTTTAGAATTTGAAAACATTTACAGATTTTTTTGGCTGATTGTCGGTTGTGTTGAGGAGGTTTGAAATGTCACGATTCTAAGCTGAGGTTCGGTGAAATATCCTGACAGAGCTGCTCATCACTCAGGATTCATTAAAGGACGCCCGGAAACATTTAAAAAAACCTGATGAGTCTTTGAGCTTTTAGTGATAAACGTCTTCATTGTTTTGCTGCTCTGCGTCCTGTCTTTGAGCCTCGCTGCATTTATTTTATTGATTCAGTTCATTTCTGCCTGAAGTTCAGCCGAATGTTCACAGGATCTCTGTAACGTGACGGCAAAACTGTCACGTTTTTACACAATCTGGTTAAATGCTTTTTAGGGTTTTGTGGTTTGAAAGACTCCTGAACTCATCATTTAATCGTATAAAACAAATATATACAATATAAATAAAATACATGAGTTAAACTACAATAATCCGTTTCTTCCACCGTCGTGGTTCAGCTATTTTCCAGACAATCTTTTCTCCACAATTATGAAAATAAATCTCTACTGCTGGTGTTTTATGTCGAGTAACAACAATAATACAAAATGTGTTTTTTTCTGTCCTATAAAGGCCGATTTAGAAAATCTGCAAGTAACATCGTATTAAATAATGGAAGATGTGGATCGTCTTGAATGTTCTGAAGAAATAAAACCTAAGCGACGGCATGTTTGGCCTTAAAATGACCAAGATAAGAGATTAACAGTTACAGATAGTAAAAAGAAAGAAAACCCTGATAATAGCAGAGGTCAGAGGTTAAATACTGATCAGGATCTGGCTTGTTTTGGGAAAACACACCGATATCTGTGAGGTGTTTGGTTGCAGATCTCTTAACTGTAACTGCAGCAGGTCGTAGTTTCAGGGCAGTTTTAGGTGATGCCTGTTTCTTTGGAAGCTGCGATTTCATTTCTAACGGCGACGTCACATGAACCGGTTCCACTTCCCCGTTCCGTGTAAAAACCCACAGACCTGCCGGGAAGGAACTCCGACTTCTGAGCATTTCTGGTTTTGCTGCAGAATTAATGGAAATGTGTTGACAAGCGACTCGATGGTTTCTGACCTCAGTCACCTGCGGGTGGATTATTTTAGTCCAGAAAGTGCAGCGGTCGCTTTTAAGTGGAGAAACCGTTCAGCGTTTCTGTTTTCGTTGCTCGACTGACCGCCGCAGGTCCAACAGATTCCAGGTTTTTGCTATAAAAAAAATTTAAAAATTCAAATAGTGGATTATTTGTTTAATGGAAGAAGAGCAGCAGCCAAGTTTCCAGAACTAACGAGAGCAGCTTCACGTCTGTGCAGCTCTGCTCCAACGTGGGAGACGTGACATCGCTGCTTCAACAGTGATGCATTCAGTGTTTTAACGCTTTTCCTTATTGCTTCATTCAGACAGTGAAGCGCTGATGTTCCCCAACCAGACTGACCAGTACGTCCAGCCGCATAATAAAGCAGTAAAAACCAGGAGACTGTGATATAACGATATAGTTAATGTTGCACAGAAATCGTTGTAATCTGAAGTTCAAAGAACGTTTTAGGAATTTTAAAGGTTCAAAGTCAGACGTGATGCTTTAAACAGAAAGTTCAGAGTCAGGTTGTGTTAGATAAGCTGAAACACATCGTAGAACATTCTCCTGTTAAATAAAGGACGTTCTCAAGGTAACGTCCAGAAAACGTTATAAGAACATTTTTTGGAATTTCTTTAATAACACACAAACAACCTAAAACAAACACTTCCTGTTAAAAGCATGAACAGAAGTTTGCGTAATGTTCTCAGAACATTGAAGGAATATTCCAACAAAATGTTCCTGTGAGGGTGAAAGTGAACTCAGAACGTTTTCCAGATGTTCTCAAGGCCTCCGAGGACAGAACTGTTTTTATAAAACGTTCCGGTGAAAGTGGAGCATTTAGTCTGCGATTCTTCTGCTGCACGATAACTAATCAAGCATTAGGAAAACGCTTCAAGAACGTCAGGGCACACAGAACAGTTTTAGAATGTCTCTATTAAACGTTATCCTGCTTTTAAGAAGAACATTCTGGGAACTAATATAAAACACCTCGCAGGAAACCTCACTAGAAGTTTGCAGAACCTTCTCAGAATGCTTTTAGAACAAAAAATGAAAATCGTGGCAGTAAATGAGAAAGGGGAACATTCTGCAATCTGAAAAGTTGAAAAGTTGCTCCACAAATTGATTCAGTTAAAGTCTTCACCTGGTGGTGCAACCAGGTACTGCATCTGATCTACATCACGTTTCCTTACATGCGTGTCCTCTAATGGTGATTGCTCGATAGGTAGACCAATACTGGTGTTGAAATGTGGAGAAGTTGCTCCACAAATCGCTTCTCACGACCCAAAATTTATTGTGTATCTCTTAACGCAGCTCTAACTTCAATTTAAAATTGAAAGTGATACAGAATGCTAGCATATCCGACCAAGTAACAGTTCCGATGTGACTTTTTAGATTATATCTGCACTAAGCAGCCTCGACATTAACCAAGTAGACATTAAGCATCACACAAGTCTTCGTCATGATGCCCTTTGCTAAGACAACACCCACAATGCTCTCTGCTTGCCAACACTGAACTGCAGGTAGTCCCAGTTAGTCCGAACAGGTAAAGTCTCCACCTGGTGGAACAACCAGGTACTGCAGCTGATCTACAACACGTTTCCTTACATGCCCGTCCTTTAACGGTGATTGCTCGATATGTAGACCAATACTGGTGTTGAAATGTGGAAAAGTTGCTCCACAAATCGCTTCTCATGACTCAAAGTTTGTTGTCTGTGTCTTCATGCTGCGTGAACTTGTGTTTAAAATTGAAAGCGACACAGAATGCTAGCATGTAAGAGTTCTGTGGCGACTTTTACGTAATAACTGGCCGTAAAAATGCTCATTCAGACATGAAACCACCGTCGGATTAGCAGAAATCACTGCAGGTTTATTTGTCTGAGTCGACTAATACCACCGCAGAAATAGTTGCAAAACATTAGAGACAATACACCCTTTAATTGGGATGTTGTAATTATATTAAAGGCTCCATATTGGATTCTTTATTACACTCACAGCGTCCGGCCCCGGCAGTAAAACTCTAGTTTTACGGACCGGTAAGCGAGCTGATAACTGACCTCTGGCGTCACTCCAGAGAGAAACTGTTTGTAGAAGTCACATTTCGGTCAACAGCTGACGTTCGTGTTGCAACAGTGAGATAAAAATACAACCTTGATGCGACCCGAGTGATGTCCTTGGAAACAGCGCCGTGACTCAAGCAGGAAACGGGGAAGTGACTCGAACAAAACCCACTCAGCATTTAGAGGTTTCTGCTTTCTAGGAACAACAGAAGAGCAACAACATGCAAAACAAACCCGAAACAGAATTCAGTCGACTTTTCTTCTGTGAACTTTTAATAATTAACCATAACAATAATAAAAGTCTAAACAAGTCAGCTAATGTCACTTAGAGACGGTTTTGTCAGGAAACAGCAGGTTGGGTAATGTGGCATTTGGCCACAAAGAAAAGCGTACAATTACAGTTTTTAAATAATGTAAATATTGTGTTTACATCACGCATTTTTTTCTGGATATCAACATTTGCTTCTAAATCAGTGAAGCTACATGAACGGGCAGCCCTGTTTCTGTTTAACTCATATTAAATTGTAGGGAAAACAAAGGAAATAATGGACTTTTTGAATCTTTTGGGTGATTTTGGGGAAACTCAGCAGAGCTAGAAAACCTCTCTTCAGGTCGCTGTACAGAAAAAAAAACACGCAAACAAAAAAATAGTATTTAAATACAAGAAGGGGAAGTCAGGAGGACTTAGCCTGGAGCTGTGGACGGTCTAGACGGCACAGGAATGGTACATGAACATGACGCACTGGCAAAGGACAAAGGGAGACTCAAACATTAAATACACATGTGAGTTAATGGGAAACAGCTGGACAGAGTTAGGGCAGAGCGAACAATCAGCAGGACAAGACAACAGGAAGTAGAGCTGACAAAAGCAACATGAAAACAAGACTGCAAAATAAAAGCTGGCAACAGAAACAGGAAGACGAGGCAGAAACTAAAGTATAACTTGACCCCATAGTGACCCATGACACTGAATAGCCTGAACGTTAACCAAGTAGGCATTAAGCATCACAGAAAACATCCTCATGGTGCCTGTTGATAGCTGAACTCTGTTAAACCGCTAAAGGCTCCACCTGGTGGCACAACCAAGTACTACAGCGACACATTTCCTGACATGCGCGTCCTCTAACGGCGATTAATCGATAACTAATAATCATGTCGTGGCGGTTTGCTGGATGTGTCCGCTCGCTTTCTTTCCTTCCACTCCTGCTCCCATCGGCTTTGGCAACAATATTTTTTAACAATTTTCAACTTAAAAGAACAACAAATTGGGCTCGTTTAGATGTTTTTTGACAGCTTCATGGGAAACATCTTTTCTAAATACCTTAAGAAGCAAACATTCAACATTTTTATCGGCTGTTTCTGTGTCTTTCGTTGTCTTTATCTCATGAAACATGAAATATTACAACTATCCTGGTTGAAAACAGTCACTGAAGTCTTAGATGGACGACGTTTAAGTAGTTTCTTCTTCTTTTTTGAGTTTTTTATAGCGATAGCAGTCAACCCCTTACCATTCCCACGTCCCGCCGACGGCCACTCAAAGGACACAAAATGATGAGAAAGAGACACAAAATGACCACAAAAAAGAAAAATGACAACAAAGTGACACAAAATAACCAGAAAAAAACACACAAAATGAATAGAAACAGACACAGAACAACCACAAAATGAGCATAATGAGATGCAAAATGATCACAAAGAAACACACAAACCACCCAAGGGACACAAAATGATGACAAAGAGACACAAAATAGCCACAAAAAAACACAAAAAGACTATAAAGAGACACAAAATGGCCACAACAACACATTAATGGAAGTTAATGTGTTGTTGTGGCCAAAACAACTAAAGAGGAAAAAAAAAGTTTTACAAGCTGTTGTTGCACTTAAAGGAAATGAACAGTTGTTTTTATTTAGCTGAGATCCCTCAGTAGTTATGAGACCTGCAGTTCTTTCCACTGGTTGACCTGATTTAGTCGACAGCGGTGGTTGAGTTTCAGTATAAAAAGTTTGACGAAGCAGCGACCGCACAAAGCTAAAGGAGCAACAAACCTCAGTGTTGTACTTTTGTAGAAATGATAATGCCATTTTAAAAGGACAAAGGACACATATTTACTTTGGTGTTTTCATGTGTCAGATTGGATCCAAGCAACAAGCTGCCAGACTTTGTTTTTTAGGAGTTTTTGTGCTAAAAACTACAAAAACAAGCGCTGGGAGTTAAAATGGGGTCAAGCCTTTCGTGCGGTGCTGATTTTATTTAATTAAATTAGCCCCGGGATTGGGATTAATTAGTTTTTTGGGGGATTGCGTCGTGTGATTCAAGGTTAATTTGAGGGATTATGGGAAATGGGATTTGGCTCCAACCGTTGGGCGACCTCGTAGCAGCGCAGCGACACGCGCGTCCTTGTTTGTGTGTTTTAAGGTGTGCGACTTTCGTTTGTCGGGTTTTTGTCGCCTCGTGTTCGGCCTCGCATCTCCAGCTCTAATTACAGCTCCTGCTTCCTGAACGCCGGGGTTTCCCTGCTCCAGCGCCTGTCACATATAGTTAGCGTAGCTGCTCATTGTGTTTATTTTGCGCTTTCCGAGGACCGCAAACACACACGTGCCGTCGCCAAGCGTGTGGAAGTGGCGTTAAAGTGGAGCCTGGAGGCTGAACTCTCTCCGTCTGCCTTTTACACAAAGTCCAGATGTCTGAACGTCTCCTCGTGTCAAACCAGATGTTAATTAAGTGACAAAAGAATTTGACCGTCTCCATGACAACCGCTGCACATAATCCCCACAACAAACATCAGACGTGTGATTGTGAGTGTTTGTGTGTCTGTGGTGTGAACAGTGTGATATGTTAGAGCTTAAACAGAAAACTTGAGCTTAAACATCCAGAATGAGAGAAAGATGCAGTTTTGTGTTTGTTTTTTGTGTCGCGTCTTTATCAGAGGTCTGCATGTCTCTGTTGAACTTTTGTGTTTGTGTCTCTTTGTCGTCATTTTGTGTCTCTTTGTAGTAGTTTTACCTCTTTTCATAATCTTTTTGTGGTCATTTTGTGTCTGTTTAGTCATTTTGTGTGTTTTTTTGGTTAGTTTGTGTTATTTTGTGGTAATTTTTTGTGTTTTTGTTGGTCATTTTATGTCTCTTTGTAGTCTTTTTGTGTTTTTTGTGGTTATTTTGTGTCTCTTTGTCATCATTTTGTGTCCGTTGAGTGATTTGTATACTTCTTTGTGGTAGTTTTGTGTCACTTTATAATCATTTAATGTTTGTTTGTGGTCATTTTGTGTCTTTATACTCATTTTGTATTTTTTGTGGTTATTTTGTGTCTGTTTAGAGTCATTTTGTGTGTTTTTTGGTTAATTTGTGTTACTTTATGGGAATTTTGTGTTTTTTGTGGCTATTTTGTGTCTGTTTGTAGTCATTTTGTGTTTGTTTTTTTTTGTTTTCATTTTGTGTCCCTTCAGTGGTTTGTGAGTTTCTTTGTTGTAGTTTTGTCACTAAGCTCACTTTGGTTCTTTGTTGTAGTTTGATTTTGTCTTTCTGTTCGTTTGTGTCGCGTTGTCGTCGTTTCTCTCTTTGTTGTGACTTTGTGCCTCTGATGTGTTTCTGCAGCTGTTCGTAGACGTGGTGTCTCTTCTTTGTCATAGTTTTTTTGTCCTTGTTGTCATTTTTTGTCTCTTTAGGATATTTATTGTTTATTTTTTGTGGTAATTGTGCATCTCTCTGTGGTAGTTTTGTGTCTCTTTACACGATCAGATGAAGAACAAGGCTTTAGTTTCCTGCTAATTCTGATTTATCATGTTTCCCAGGAAGCAAAATGAGGTAAAGTAACAAGTCTGAATGTGTTGGTGTGTCGTCGTGCACATGAACCTGTTCTACTCAACGTGTTTCTGAGGACATGATGACTCACAGCAGCTTCGAGTGTGTGTTTGATCGACGGGCTTCCAGCAGCTGCTGTTATCAGCCTGCAGCAGCACGCGGGCCTGATTCTGGAACAGAATAAAACGCTTTGCGTGCACGCCGGTTATTTGTTGGTGGATCCGAGCCACGTCTTTGATTAAGGTTACGGGTTTGGCAGGACGAGAGCGAGCTGCAGCGAGGGCGGAGGGAGGGAACCACAAAGTGTGTTTTTCTAATCAAAACCTGCAATTACAGCCTTAATATGCCTAATCAGTCAACACGCTGCCTGTGTGTGTGTCTGTGTGTGTGTGTGTGTGTGTGTGTCGCCTCTGCAGACGCATCGACTACAAGCTGAAGAGGCAGGACAGCACCAAAACTCTGCTCATAAAAACTGAACAACTGCTGAGGATCGAGGAGCACGACTTCGCCATGAGGCCGGGCTTCGGAGGTCAGACGCACAAACACACACAATCTTAGTCAAACACACACAACCACAGCCGAACCGACAAAGGCCCTCCCGGTTCTGTCTCTGATCCCTGATGATTTAATCCACTCACTCACACTTCGCCTGACAGAGAGAAATCACTCGCCGCCGTCCCACGCTGATGATGCTGCGATGGGCACTGGGTCACCCACACAACGGCTGTGTCGATCCAAAAATCACCAACCCTGACCCAGATTACGCCATTGTGTGGCAGCACGAGTGTCAGTGTGTGTGTGTGTGTGTGTGTGTGTGTGTGAGCATTAATGCATTTGAAATACAGTCGGACTCCGTGTGCTCGCTCAGATGTGATTGTGTGTCCTTCTGTGTGTTGCTGCAATAGAACAAGTGCCTCGCTGTGTGTGTGTGTGTGTGTGTGTGTGTGTGTGTCTGTGTTTGTGTGTGTGTGTGTGTGTGTGTGAGTCGGGGGGATTCGTGTGCATTAATCTGGATTATATTCCAGGTCTGGAGCAGATGGAGGGGTTTGAAACAAACTGACGTCTGCAATAAAGATCATCGCTATCAAACACACAACAATGCAGTCGTTCAAACACACGAGGCCAAAGACTTCCGTGATAGGCTTTGAAATCGTGGATTAAAATTATATCAATATATGAAGTGAAAGCCTTTAAGGCGATAAATATTGTAGATTTATTAGTAAATCTGTGTGTTTACATTAAGAGATATTAAGGTGGGAAGTAACTAAGTGTTGTTATGAGCAACATCTCACATGGGAGGACGCCGATCGTCATCCGTCCTCACTCATCTGGCTGCAGATTTGATCTTCAGCATGGGAGACAAAGACTTTGTTGTTGTTGTTGTGTAACATAGACATGAAAGTAACTTTTTGAGATTGTTTCAGCAGATTTGATTTGATTGCAGGGAATTTATTCTCTCCCGTTAGATTTGAAGCAACTTTTCGCTTTAAAAAAAAGTAAGTTTTGGGTTTGTTTTGAATTTGTGAAGACATTTCAACTCAACTCATAAACCTTGAGCTGTTCATGTAGATAAAACTGACTTGGGAGGGACCTCAGGACTGTGTTACCCGATAAGTGGAACCATAATGGGCGGATATTATTCATTAGCATCATTCCCAAACATACGGGGACGTCCTCCAGCTCCCAGTGGTCTCAGTAGGCTCCGTATCACTCATGTAAAGGAATGATTTTGCACCAAATCTACAAATCTGTTCTGGAGGAGGCTATCTAGTGATACTTGTCGGTTTTGTGGTGCTATCAGTTATGAAATTTCAACAAAAAATAACTTTCTTTTCACTTTTGTGACCACATATTTCATGTTAATAAGTATTCTACACGTGTAGTTTTGTGTTATTGTGACATGAAGCTACACGTGGTTCAGAAAACAGAACTAGCTGACAAGCTTAGTGAGTTGGCGCAATGTTTTACTGAAGTACAGATTAGGGCTGTAAGGTGGGGCAGTGGTTAGCACCGTTGCCTCGCAGCAAGAAGGTCCCCAGTTCACGGTGGGGACACCCGGGATCTTTCTGCGTGGAGTCTCCATGTTCTCCCCGTGCAGCGTGGGTTCTCTCCGGGTTCTCCAGCTTCCTCCCACAGTCCAGAAACATGTTGAGGTTAATTGGTGATTGTAAATTGTCCGTAGGTGTGAATGTGAGTGTGCTTGGTTGTCTGTCTCTAAGTGTAGCCCTGTGATAGACTGGTTACCTGTCCAGGTGAACCTGCCTTCACCCTGAGTCAGCTGGGATAGACTCCAGCCCCCCACCACTCTGGTGAGGTATAGATGATGGATGGATGGATGGACAGATTAACTGGATCAAATATAAAGTTAGAAAAACAGTATTATGAGCAGCAAAAGTTGTGTTGTTTCAACGTTTTGCTGCAGCCTTTGAGCCTCCGTTCAAACAAGTGAATCTCCACTCCTGACCTGTTTACTGCCTGAACGTGACTTTGGGTTAAAAGCAGAATTAAAACAAACCACGCTGGCTGCTGGCAGGAGTCTGGACTGGAGCTGCGGTCTCCACCCGAGTCTTGGAGGTTTTTACTGTCATTATTTGCTCCACCACAATAGGCCGCGTGTCATGAAAACGTAAACACACGTCTTTGTAAGCTTCTGAAGCGAACACAATGCTGTCATTTTTCCCCTGATGACAGCCTCTTCCTCTCATTCTTCCAGTGATCTGATCTTATCTGTGCTCGTCTTCGCTTTGAAACTCTCACTTCTGACCCTAATTGTAGTTTATTGTGCTGCTAATAGGCGGTTTTTAAGACTTTATCTGATTGCTAGTTATGATCTTCTGGAGTAAAACTACACCTTTTGAGTCCCTGATTTAATTTTTTTTTAATGTCTAAACTTCTAAAGTGAAGTTCTTCTTTCCCATTTTTAATTTTCCATCCCAGCACACACTGTCCCTGCTGCCATCGTATCTCCTGCTCTATATGGTTGGTTGGCGTCTCTGTGGTCCTGACTGTCATTCCGGGTGGGACAACAAAAGCACCACTGTCTGCCCTGCGGCATTTCCACGGACTATAATTTTACACGGCGGGAAATCTCAGCATTTTTCTCCCCCTTAGATAAGCCTATAGCTGCTGTGTGTTTTTCTGGAGAATCAAAACCTCCCCCTCCTCAGATGCCACGACAGAAATACCTCCAAGTGACATTTCTTCTTTATTTACCGTTGAGCGCTCGTAGTATTTCGTCTAAATCGAGGTCAACCTTTAGCGGATGTCTATAAACTTAAATTAACCCCCGCAAACTGCTTCGGGCTTTTCTTGCCACTTCGGCCTTTCCGCACATCCAGATACCGAAACGCTTGTAAGTGATTTAATAGCAGGCCTTGGACTCCGCTGGCGTCCTGCCTGGCGCTGGTGTATTTTGGCTGCGGCGTCGCAATGTGGGACGTCGCTTGGGGCTAGTTTCAGGTGGCCGACGCGGCTTCTGATTGGCAGGCTTGGGAGCATAAAACCGACGAACAAGTTGCTGGTGACAGTTTGATTGCAGGTGTTTCTGTCCTTAGAGAGGTCTGACACCTTCTCAGACAAAGTGAAGCCGTTACTGACGCGCTGAAGGAAGAATTTCTGACCTCTAGTTCGAACTCGGGAGGTTTGCAGCTGTTTGCAAAGCAGCTGGTACAGTGCTGCCCGTTTATTATCACACATGGAGTTATGACTGTATCCGGGATATTCAAGATTAGCGTATCGAAGTGTCCGCAGAGATAGAGCGCTGAGGAAACTGTGTCTGTGTGACGAAAAATGGGGGTTTATGAAGTCAGAACAGGAACGTCTTCACAAGATCAAAGGGACAGTTAGTCTGAACGCCAACATCCCGACACCTGGACTAGATTCTCACATCAGGTTTCCATGACAACCCGGCTTGAAGGGTTTGATGGAGAAGCAGCCGATGATGTCGCCCCTTAATGAGCCGCCGAACCCAGATTAGAACATTTTGAACTAAACGGGTTCATAAAAGACGGAGCTCTGACAGCGCCTGAGAGCTGAACGATGCCTGGACAGAACCTTGAGTCCACATCTATTATTCAGTGTCCTCTTGCATCTCGTCGTCCTTCACTCGGCGACCCATCAAGTCGCTTCTTGTGCAGCGGCAGGGTGGGGACAAATCTGCATAATATGCTTTTTGAGGAGACCTGATGATCCACGATAAGTACGATTATTAAAACAAAACTTGCAGAAGGGCTGCTGTCATCAATGAATTCTCAGAAACATCCTTATTTCCATCTACAAGGCTTGATCTTCATTGAAAGATCATACATTCTAGGTAATAAATGCTCTTAATGTGCATCACTGCTCAGACGCTTGATTAACTGATCTCCTTATGAGCCATTTCTAATAATAAACCGTGAGAACTTAACCCTACAGCCCGATGGACGCCTCTCGGTTCGATGGCTTTTGAAGTATTTGAAGAGTTAATTTGCAACAACAGATCACTCCATCTCCACAAACCTTAAGATAAGCCACTTTTCCATCATCTACCTGAGACAATATCAGTCAAACTTAAGTTATCTCTGTTTTTGTCATTTCTACTGAATCAAATCCACTGATTGATATTATCTCAAGCAAACAACAAAAAAATAAGTTTTCTGAAAATCTACAAAAGTGGAGTTATCTGTTTTGTGGTTTTGCTTGAGTGAAACTTCCCCTTTGTCGGTACGAACAGCCGCCCCATCAATAGAAGTTATTTCCTGTAATCAGAGGATAAACAGAGGATTAATTTATCAGGATTAACCAGCTGAGCAGTTCAGTTATGACTGACGATTGTCTTTGATGTCAGACAGCGTGTGAATAACTCAGTGATCAGATCTCAGGTATCTGACAAACAAACCAACACGTTGCCGTATGCAGCTGACCAGGGTTTGATCATCTGCCATGCGTGTCAAAAAGCAGGATTCTGACATTACTGTATGACAATAAACGGGCTGCTTTGCTACAGGTTGTATAGGAAATGATTCAGGACTTGATATGTAATGATTTTAAATGGGATGTTCTATAAAGCGGGATGACGGTACGTGGGCAGCACTGTGTAAAAACGTGGATTTGGGATGAGTTTTTGCCTTGAGTGGAGGAGTTTATGTACTTTGAGTTGTTGTTTTTGAGTAGAGGAAGAACAAAACTGGAGATTAACGGTTGGATCAGTGCAGCATCTGCAGGAATGTGGACGTTGTACAGATGTGTTGTGGTGAAAAGAGAGCAGAGGCAAAAGACCTTCCTACTTTCACCCGTAGTCACTGAACTGAAGAAGTAAGATCGTGGAATATAAATGGGTTTGTTTTGTGATTTAAATATAAGTGAAAGTCTCACATTAGGGCCTTAAAGGGTCAGTCCGTGTAATTTCAGGTAGTGTTGTTGCTCCATCGTCTCAAATTTTGTTCCAATTTCTCTTATTTATTATTTGGGACCCAAAGCTAGCTTAACGTCTTACATGTGAAGCCCTTCTTAGGGTTCAATATGTCCAGAAATATTAATCCCACAGCCGTG